CGGATCAAATTCTTAAGTTGTATTAGATTAAGTAGAAGCTATACTGAAGATGAAGATATAGATGCATTTTCTTCGTTGTTGGTAGAATCTCTTAGTACAACCATAGCTTCTTGTCCGTCATAGTTTTCTAATGGTAAATGTTCGAAGGGTTTTTTTAGCGACGTGTCGATTGGGTAGGTACAGCTCTTGCAGCCATAGAGAAGGATTTCTAATACAAATCAATTCAGCATTCGAGTTCTAACCTTTAAGTCTAGATCCCACTTGATAAGGCAATTCTTCATGCCGACAGACGTCCTCATAGTCTGCTTTATTCTTGCTAGGATATCTTCTGTACAATCGCAGCTATTACATACTAGTGCTTAGAGGAATCTGAACTTATTTAACGATGCTGTTCTGTATTCAAAGAACAACTTATGTCTGCACTTTCTTAGTGATCTTCATATTTGCTGTATTCAGACAAGCTGTATCTTTAAGTAGATTTTTCCGAATGCAGATTAAAGAGTGTGGGGATAACATGCATTTCTTCCGTACTCCCTTTTTTATGACTATTTCCTCCCAAATGTTGTTCTCTACGCTTACTTGAACTATCTGATGCCATTATAGTTTCATAATGATTCGTAAGTTACCCTCCGTTGCTCCAAGTATTTCTCCTAGTTTCTGGTGTTGCGATTATCTACAAAGCAGGCGTATATTTCCACTTCCATATCTCGGTATTTCATGTATGTTGCTTGGCCTTTAGTTGAGGTGACAAAAGTTGACTTCAGCCAGTCTGGGGGTATTTTTCCAGTTCTGTAGATGGTCTGGATCTGGCATAAGACTTAACTCTAAACAATCTCCAATGATTAGGAGTCTCGGGTTTTGGCATGAATAATAGCACATGATACTCATTCCAGGATTATGGAATTTTGTAAAGGTCTAGTGGATGAATAAATATCATATGTTTTTGGAATCATTTGTAATCTAAAAAAGTGTTTGCCGCCGGTAATGCAATCATGTAAGGTATGTTTTAACTTGTTCATTTTTTAGGTTCTCTGTGATACAGTTTGAATATAAGGGCAACAAATAAAGAAAGTAAAATTAAATAATACATAAGTATAAATATCTGGGAACAATTTTTAATGAAGATTTTCAGTACACCGAAAAAATTAAAGCATGAAAAGGGCATGCAAAAAGTAAATTCAACAAACTAAAAACGGTATCCTGTAGCAGAGTTATCACAATGGCTTTAAAAATATGACTGCTTAAATATGATATTAGTTATACATGAAAGAATGAGATTACAAACAATTTGAAGTCCTTTGATTTATAGACCTACTGAAGAATAATGAAAATAAGTTGGGTAGATCGAGTCAACAATATTAAGGATAGGAAATGACAAAAATATTTTAATTACCATTGAAACCAAAAAGTTCCAGAGCTCTAAAACATATCATGAGTGATGAACATTATATCTTGCTTTTATTAATAATTCAATTAAGAACACAACGAAGGAGAAGATGAGAAAGAAGACGTATACACTGGTTGAATAACGAAGTCTCTGGTTCGAATGTAATAATTGAAGTAATTACCAACATGATTACCAACATTATAAGAGGATACGACATATAAAAAACAAGTGCAGTCCCGCAATTTTTGACAAGACAATAAAACAAATTGTAAATTCTAAATATTTTGTAAATTTCATTATTTCCTTTATGTTGTAATGTTACTTTCGTAATTGTTAATTATTTCTTTCTTATTTTTTGTACATTGTTACAAGTTATATTGTAACTACTTCAATGACAGTATTATCGACATATTTAACCTAAATGAAAAAACTCTTTAATTATGTGACAACTAAAATCCATGAATCGGTTATTGGTAAACTTGTGGATACTGTAGTACTATATTAAGTCCGGCTTGCTAAATTTATACTCAAAATAATAGCAATAACTTTTTATCTATCTAACACATATCAGTTATAAGTGCAAACAATGACAAATAATGCTTAGAGTGCTGTTTTAATAAAATAATTTTTAGACAAACCTTAATATTAAGTTGGAAATTTACAATCACCTAAAAATTTATTGAAATGTTATAATAAATTATACTTCTATTGTTTTAGTTTTTTTTACTATCCAATTCTGCTCCTGCAATCGGTGTGAAAGTCAAAACTTAATTTCGCAAGTAAAAGCTATCTGGTTTGAGAAAGAAAATACTGAAATTTTAGTAGTGTAACAATTTAAAACAGGCTGACCACGTTGGTGGGAGACAGTTGTATCAATATTAACAAGCCCCACACGCTGGGTGACAGTTGTAAAAATATTTATAAGGCCCACGTTGGGCCAGTTGTAAAAATATTAACACAGGCTGACCACGTTGCTGGGAGACAGTTATATCAATATTAACAAGCCCCACGTTGGGTGCCAGTTGTAACAATTTATTATTTTGCTTATAGGGGGTTGACAGGAGAGACTGAACAATTACTGGGCTTGGGGATAGGGTAAGCAAATAAGTTGCAACGTTTGCGAACGGCTACTCGTGTTTTAGTTGGAGAGCTGAGTCGTGGATAAGGATTCCTTTATTTGGGGAGGACTAACTACACAAAAGAAATCAAAAAATACATGGACAGATGGGCACCACTACACAAGGAGATTCCTAAACTATTTAAAATAGGACGAAGTTTAAAAGAATCCTCTTGGTACTTAGAAAGAAGGTTTTTCGTTCATAAAAAATTTCAAGGGTGAATATCTATTTAAAAGAAATAATTTTAAACTCCTGGTTTAAAGAGAAACATTACATATTTATTTTTATTTCAAATAAACAGTTATTACAAATAAAAATATCTAAATTTATCAACAAATCTTACATTATCAACAAAACAGACTTTAAAATTTTGGTTATGTACCAAATGACAGAAAAGGATATACTGTCATATTCTTCTTCTTAGGGTGCCTGTCCGATCCGAACGTTGACGATTATTCTGGCTATGACTACTTTGTTGGTTGCTATACGAAATATCTGTGTTGAGGTCTTTCTATACTATGCTCTCAGATTGGCAAGCCAGAATATTCTTCTTCGTCCTGGGGCCCTTTTTCCTTTAATTTTACCTTGCAAAATGCATTGGTGTAGCTCGTATCTGCTTTGATTTCTCATTATATGTCTCATGTACAGCAACTTACGGCCCTTAATGATGTTGACTAAATCCGCGGTTGTGTTCATCCTCCGCAGTACTTCTTCATTGGTGACTTTGTCTGTCGATGGTATCTTCAGGAACCTTCCATATAAACATAGCTCGCTCAAAATCTTGAAGTTTTGATACAGTTTCCGCCTTCAATGTCCACGTTTCTACTCCGTACAGAAGTACTGAGTACACGTAACATTTAAGGAGACTTATTTTTTTCTATGGTTAGGTCATGGCTCTTGAACACAGAGCCCATAGTCAATAATGCACTTTTTGCTTTTCCGATGCCACATTTAATCTCTTGGGTATTGTACCACGACTCATTGATTATAGTTCCCAAATAGTTGTACTGTGAGTCAAGTTCAATTCTCATTTGGTTCACATACAGATTTGCTCCAGTTATGTTTTCCTTTCGGATGATCATTATCTTGGTTTTGCTGGTGTTTATATCAAGTCTATATGTTCTAATTATCTCCGTTATTTTGTTCATTACGTTTTGCAGCTCTTTTATGGTATTGGAAAACACTATTGTATCATCTGCATACCGCAGGTTATTGAGCTTGACTCCATTTATTGAGATGCCTTCGTCAATATCTTTTAGAGCCTCTTCAAAAATCTGCTCCGAGTACAGATTGAATATCAGTGGTGAAATTATGGATCCCTGTCTCATTCCCCTTAAGATTTTGACCTAATCTGTATATTCTCCATCTATTCAGAGCACCGCTGATTGATTCTAATACAGGTTAGCTATTATTTTTAAGTCTCTTCCGGCAATCCCTGTCGTCTTCAGCACTTTTATCATTTGTTCATGACTGACCCTAACGAAAGCCTTCTTGTAGTCAATCAGGTATACAAAAATATTATGTGCAGAAACAATACCTGCACGCTAAATGTTCTCGAGAAACAGTGAGAGCTAACGCTCTCACTGTTTCGTGTATGATAGTCAGACCTCTATGGGTCCTGCATTTCTGCATTTTAGCACCTTTGTATTGAGGTTTTCACTTACCTTCAGTCGAACATTGGGATTCAGTTTTCTAACATCATACTTCTTCATCGACTTATTTGTAACCTTCTTCATTCTAACTTTGAAATTACTTACAACTGGTGACTGTCGTATGTCGAAATGAAATAGCAAACTTTTCTAAATTATTAATTACTTATTAAGAGTTAATTTTATTTAAAAGAAAACTAAAATATGACAATTAGCTGATCCATAAAACTTTATTTAAAATATTTATTTATAAACTTTTTAATTTGTCATGGAAGCAAATCTTAGTATATTAGCGAAAAATGTTTATTTAGAAAAAATTAACAAAACTACCTTTACTACTACACTTTAAAAGATATCTGTCTTCAGCTGAAGATGAATGGATACTGAATAATGCCGAGAAAACAATGACAATGTATGATATGTAACATAATGCGTGGATTTGAAAAAACTGGCATATTTCTCTTCGACAAAGATATATTTACCGGTAGGTACTGATTTTGCACCTTCGTATGTGACGGATCACCCCATGAAAACTAACAGTAATGAACCAAAGTATCGAAATATTTTGCAACAGTGTTGTCTAATTCACAGCCTTGGACGTCGTTGAAAAATTCCAGAATTTGCTGATTTGGTGGATATGCTGAATATGTAACTTTAATTTGGCGTTTCACTACTGAACGTAATTTTGTAAATTGTCTTTGGTGATTGTTTTCTTGAATTGTTCTGAGTCAGCATTGCTAATACGTAATAATAACCGGCTACTGAAGCTTGAAACATAAAGACATGATATCCGAAATAAACGAGAATGTGCGCGTAAGCGTGAGAGATAAATAATTAAAATACAAATATATACTTAACATTTTATTTACAACCTAATTATAATAAAATGCAATGCAAGCTATCAGTTAGATCATTATAAGAATATAATATCTTCGATTCTATTTGTATTATCAATAAATCTAACTGCTTTATTATACATTCTCCAAAGAATAAGTTATTAATTTCACAAACTCTAATATAATAGACTAGAAATGATTTATTCCGCCCACAACGTAATTTAAGGTAGTCGATTTTTGGTCTGGGTTGTTTCATTGCAACATATTGTATGTAGGCACCTTAATCGCCTCTTGCATTGCAAATAATCTATATTTTGAAACTAACTAAAAACTGTGTTCAATATCCCTTTCTGCCTCTGAAACGTTGCCTGGCATCCAACTGAAACATTAAATCATACTTTAAGGAAAATACACTTCCAATGAAACCATAGTAATGAAAAAAAAAGTGACCTCGAACGAAAAATTTAAGATCTCCTTCTTCTTATTGATTCGTCTTCTAACGAATGTTGGCAAACGTGAAATATATGTTTGACACTGAGGTTAGTCCAATCTCTGATATTCCTCAGCCAAGATTTTTTCTTTCTTCCCAAGTATTTTCTTCTCTACTCTTCCTAGCATGTTAACGTGCAGATTCATTGTTTCGAAGTATATGGCCCAAATAGTTTTTCTTATTTTAATGGTGTTCATAAACTTTTTTGAGACTTTTGCAGTCCAAGGAATTTTTAGAATACGCCTATATAGCCACATTTCGAATATCTCTAATTTTTTTACGGATTGAGCTTTCAGAGTCCAAGCTTCTACTCCATATAACAGTTATGACAGTGCATAACATTCGACGAACCTCAATCTGATAACCATACTCAATTTCTTATTTGTAAACATTGACTTAAATTTCATAAATACTTTTCGAGCTATTTCAATTCTGATCTTTATCTCCTCATCTTGATCTAACTGTGAGTTTATAATTGCTCCGAAGGGTTTAAACTTGTTTACCATCTCTAACGGGTTATCCTCCAATGCCAGATGTATGTTTTGTCAACAGGGCTTTTCAAGATCACCATGTATTGGGTTTTATCTATATTCATTGTTAGTCCCATCTTATTTGCTTTCTCTGTTAATGATTTCTATAAGAATTTGTAAATCTTCTACATTTTCTGCCATGACTGCGGTATTGTCTGCAAATCTTGTTATTAATGATGCTCCCTTCAATCCTTACACCTACTTTTTTCCCATAGTGCCTCCTTAAATATTAGTTGGGAGTACACATTAAAAATTGTGGTAACAGCACACATCCCTGTCTGACTCCTCTTTGAATTTCTACTTAGTTTTCACTATCTTCCCTCGATTGTAGTATAGATTTTTGATTAAATTGTATGTATTTCAATGCATGTATGAGTTTACCATGTTTACCAACTCTGTCAAACGTTTTTTAGAAAATATATATAACATATGAATATGTTTTTATTATATTTCCTGAATTTTTGTAATATTACCGTCATTGAGCACAACGCCTCTCTTGTTCCCATTCTAACTCTAAATCCATACTGTGTATTGTCTAATTGTTCTTCACATTTCTTTATATATACGCTGTTGAATAACTTTGAGTAGTATTTTGAAAGTGTGGCTCATGAGGCTAATTAATAGATATTTATCGCAAGATTTAGGATTATTCTTTTTGGGTAGGGGTAAAAAGATAGGTTTTTAGATACTCTCAATAGATAGACACTCAATATTTTCGTTATTCAGGATTTTTAGTATATCTATTAAAATTTCATCATGACATGGCGCTTTTTACATCGGCAACTGGAAAATTCAAGCAAGGGACAGAACAGAATGGCGTAGAAAGCTTTAAAAGGTCGAGGCCCTCTAAGGGCTGTAGCACCAAGATAATAATGATGATATTTTCATCAGTTGGTAATGTTTCATTTATTTCTTCCTTATTATCTGTAAATAAGTTCTTGATATATTCCTCCGAAGTTTGTTGTTTTTCTTCTTCTGATAACTGGAGATCTCCATTGGAGTTTCTGATGATTTGTGGTATTCTCTTCCGTGCATTAGCAATAATTTTTTTTAGTTTCCACAAGGAATCTACGTTCCTGTAGTTGGCTGTATACCATGTATTAAAAATTTAATTAAAAATCCTTTGTAATAGGTATATTTTAGGCCTATTACAAAGGATTTTTAATTAAATTTTTTTTAGTTTCTTATGTAGATTATGTGTCTCATGTTTCATATTAAATTTTTCTATGTCATTGCAATTTTCATCTATCTAGTGTTCTTTAGCTTTCTTGATCTGCGTTTCTACTAGTTTCTTCATTTGCTTATATTTGTCTTCATTTATATTTCTGTATTTTCGTTTTTCTTCTATAAGCTTTATAATATCTGGTGTCATCCAGTCTTTTTTGGCACTTGATTAAGTACTGCCGCCTTCATTTAGATCCAGGCACTGTTACATTATATACAAAACAAGAAATATTGTTAAGTAATTTAAAACAGTAAATGATCAGGCCAGGTCTAGACATTGACCTAATGTGCGTTAGTGCAATGGGATTTCCTAATTCAGGACAATCAGAAATAGAAAACTGTAAGGTGTTTTACTTTGCAACTTGTTAACATCATTCAAATATATCTTCACAAAGCAAGCAAGTGATGAACAAACTAAAATTTTAACAATTCTCAACTGTTATATCACAATTTAAACAGGAGGACATGAACATAAATATGGGAGATTTCAACATGATTGGCAGAAGAAAACAAGGAAAATTAATAGGTGATTATAAATCAAGGATAAGAAATGGAAGAAATGAACATAGAAGTAATTTTGTTGAAGAATAAAATCAAGTGGCTGTGCTCACTAAATTTAATAAACTTCCACCACATCGCCTGTGCACATAGAAATTGCTTATGAGACTAATCAGAAAACGCAGTGCGCAAAACAACAGATTACAGCTTGAAAATTATTAGATTTAAAAAATGTTACTTATGCTGTTGTAAAGACTTATGCAAGTGCAAACATCAACTCTGCTATAACTTGCTACTTAGCAACTATAAACTGAAACTGAAGAAAGTCAAAATAAAGTGCTAAACAAATAGTTAAGATTTATGTAGAAAAAACATCAACTAAAAAACAGAATTAAAACAAAAATTAAATGTGGAATGGCTAAATTGAAAAGACTGCCAACTCTTTGAGACATGTTTAAAATTAGTACTTACTAGTAATCTGGATTGGAACGGTAAATACACATCAAAGGTTGAATTTCTGGTGGAGTAGTCATGATTAGGTCTTGCTGGTAAAACATATAGCTGTTTATGAATTAAGCAAACAGTTTCTAAAATATATAAAGAGGGAAGAGTTAAAAGCCCATGATTTTTTAACTAGCTTCTGCCATGTGTTATTCTACTGAGGCCAAAAAGATACTGTATTGCTATTTTTTGGAATTTAAAAATAATATCAGATTGGACATCTGTACTAGAACCCCAAAAAGGAAGACCATATAGAGGATGAGACTTGAACAAAGAAAAATATGTTATTTTGGAAGTTGTTAAATTGATTTCCTTCTAAACAGATCTTATTACATAGCAGGCTGAGGCTAGTTTATAGGCTTATATATATAGGCTATAAAAATATCAAGAAATTTTACAGAATCAATTATACTGACCTAGATATTATTAAGAAGCAAGAGTTGAAGAGCTCCTTTATAGAATAATACTACTGTCTTATCCACATTAGAAGGGAGTAAATTAGAGTTGACAGGTTTTTATTTTAAGTAGAACAAAACTACCCAATATATTGCAAGAACACAGCAAGATAAACATATTTGAAAGTGAACTTGTGGTTCATTCCTGGTGGTATCCTGGTATAAATTAATAAGCAAAATAAATGCAATAGTTATAGTAATAGTAAAACTTACCAGTGACCTCTTGCATTCGAAGAAAGTATTTCTCAGTACTTGACATTGTGTGGGCACAGATCCATCATTTGCTTTTAAACATTCTCTGGGAGTCCTCTTTTGCTAAGAAACAGAAATTTAAGCTTCTTAAGAGAATATTTATTTATATTTCTTTTGAAAAATTACATCTTTACTGAAGATTTTACCTTTGGGAATTATCAAATTTCAGAAACAAGAACTGTTAAATAAATACTTCTACATGTTGTATTTATTATATTGTGCTTCACTGAAAATACTTTCAACTTGTTTCCTACATATATTTAACCCAATAGGGACTCAGGTTTTCATATCACTAGAAAATTTACCATCTTTAGTAGATAGGTATTAATTGTCATAACTATAAAGTAAATTTATGGTTAATTAAGTGCATTGGTATCATGCTTTTAAATGACATACAAAAATACCTGATTTGTTTGATATTTGTTCTGGAATTGTCAATGTTTCACCATTCACCATTGTAGTAGCCATACAGCAACTGATCTTTCTAAAATGACTACTGAAGAAGTGTGAAAAATTTTAAATTAAGTAGAACATGATTATTCATCTGACACTAATAACAATTCCAACAAAGATAGTACTGAACAAAAATGCAATTCCAGTTATGCTAATATATGTCTAGTAAACTCCATAAATTGGGAATACAATTATTTGTCCTATGTGATTTGCCTGTATCTACCGATACTCTTACAGATTCGAAATTTACATTGCAGCTAGTAATATTGTCCTACTAGATAATCCTGATCTTTGTGCAGTGTAAAATACAGCTGTTTGTTTGTCTCAGACTACCCCTAACTTCACATTATCAACTTCGATAATTTTTACACCTCATTGTCTATCTGCTAGTGTATCTTCGTGGAAAGGATCTTTAGTAATTGGGAACTATTTGAGCCAATGAAAATTGTAATGAATACACTGAAAAAAAATTATTAACAATAGATATACAACAAAAATTGCACAGCTTCTTTTCCTGGCAATGTTTACGTTTTAAAGTTACTTGCTGTAACTTTAATGATTTATCTTGATTTATCTCATTTGTTATCATTTTGTTATGTCATTGATAATACATCATAACAAATTCGGGTTTTAATTTTGTACAATTTCTTATAAAAATGGACAGACAACCTTCTATGTACACAACAAAATAAAACCTGACTAGGATATTTAAACATTTCCCCTAAAAATACCATAGATCAAACAAGAAATAGGTAAGAAATCAAGGTTATATTTTTCATCCACTACTCATACACCCCATTTACAACTGTTTTAGATTAAAATAAGCTTACTACTTTGCAACAATCGCTTTCCAATAAGCACATCTTCAAATCGGCTCTAACTCCTGCACAAGGAGATGTATCTGCAAGTTTTTCATTCTCTTCCTCATATCGCATCATCTTCTAAAATTGGAAATAAAAACACAATAAAATAAAATACAATAAACAATGTATTATTCTCAAATATCAATGGATAATCAAATGATACTTACGAAAATATCTAAATATGAAAAATTAATATAAATATTTTCAAAATAAAAATGACATAACCTCAATCACTTGTATTCTTCTTTTCATTTGAACAAACAGACTGACTAGGACTAGATCGTGATCGTTGTTAACCAAGCACCAACAGTAGAAGTAACTAGCCAATTTCAAATAGGTCAAAATGATTATCATTATTTTTGAAAATATATTTACAAAAAGTTATTTAAAAAAAGGTAAGGATAGATCAATAAGACATTAAAAACGGTTTCTTAAGTTTTGTAAGAAAATTTAAACTTTGATAGGTATAAATAATATAATCTAGCTATAAGTACCTAAAATATAAATAATATTTTTAGAAAGCCAGTTTTATACTACATACAGAATATTAAATTTTTAATAGATATTATTAAATTATATGTTTATTAAATTTAGGTTTACGAGAGAAATATTATTTATAATATAATATAAAAATGGGTTTCTATATTCTATGAATATTATAGCTTTATTCTACTCGTAGTAGTAAATAAAGGTATAAGTATTATATTAATAAGAAAACTGTTCAATTAACATTAGCATTCAGTGGCGTAGCGAGCCACATAGCGAGCTTAACTATCACCTGGGCACAATACTTCGATGAAGCAAATTTATCAATAACTTAAAAATGCTATGTCACGCGATCTTGTCCCATCGTTGATCGTAGATATACCTATCAAAATTAATTTTAGTTTGTTGAATGAACATTCGCAGTTAGCAATTAATACTGCGATTGCCAGGAGTATTTGAAATGCCACTACTAGGTTATGGCATGAAGATTTGGCATACGAGATTATAAAAGAAAGAAATTCTAATGGAGTTTTGGGTTCATTTTTTTTTTTTTTTTTCTACCGCGTAGTAACATTTTACAGTCACATATTTCGATAATCGTATTCACTAAATACAGCACGAAACACCATGAAGCACTGGAATCATATATTATAGTAACCCCTTACTCCAACCTCTGCTAGAACACCAAGCCAATAAGAGACTCAAAAGAAACTGGCCAGCTGACCTGAAAAACGGTTAAAGTGGTTTTGTCACTGGAGAAGACCTCACCACACTAATAGGAGCCCCTTGCTCCGCAGCCAGCAAATTAACTTATAGAATTTTATTTGTGTTTTGATTGCTAAAGATTGTCTCATAATAGAAAAAAATCGGTAGAGTTCTATTCCATTGAAATCTGTATTATAAAATTCAGCAAAATTTTTACAATTTTTTTTCAAGGTCGTTATCATATTTGATAATAATATTTTTTAATATTTTTTCAATATTAACTATTAAGAATCCAAATTTGGAATTAAGGTCACTTAGTTGTATAAATCGTGTACATATGTCTTGTTGGAGAGGATCAATAACGCTTTTCATAACACGAAAAATTTCACTTTCTGCAAAAAGACCAACATCTCTAGCTGATTCTCCGGACATATTGCTGTATTAATATCCTATTTTTCACAAAGAGGACTTCGCTTTTTCTATTGCAAAGAGTTCCAAATTTCGGTTAGTTCAGTCACTAATGATTCAAGATCATAGAACGCTTTCCTAAAATTCATTCTAGGATCTTATAATTTGAGCTGCGCACGATCAATCCTCCTTAAGATTTCATACAGAAATGAACTAAAGGTATGAAACGAAAAGTTAGTATATGTTGCAAGAGAATTGTAACTTCACTTCTCATGTCACTTATAGTGGTTGTTGTTGTGACCGAGAAGCAGAAAACAAATAGGCTCTAAATTAGCGTTTGGCACTTTATTATTAAATTGTAGAATATAAAACTTACTACGATCTAAGCTTCTACATAAGGAGCCCAGCTAACCTCTGATTCTGTCGCTTGGTGGGGACCATTCCTTCTACTTCTGTCATATTTCTTAAAGCGAAGTTTACACGAAGTATTTCTTAAGATACTATAGTAGTGTCTTATGCTAAGTTGACTAACAGTTTTACTATATTCTCTAGCCCATCGACAAGAACGCTAACCGCTTGTATTCTGGCGATCCATCGTGTTCAGATTCACGTTTGACAGGATTTGTTAAAGCATTTTTTGAATAATTCATATCGTTGAACCTGAGAAACAGAGATATATTTTCAATTATTTAAAAACATGTCACAACGATTGGATCTTGTTTAACTGCAGTAACTTCTACTAAATTAAATAAATGTTTTTGATTTTTTTCCACTATTCGTTGTTGAACGTCAGATGTGTGACCTGCCATCACGGCAGAATTATCGTAACATTGTGATCTGCAGTTTGTCAAATTTGTTTTTTCGATGGCTTTAAAATCTTCGAAATCTTCTTCGCCGTCGTCTGACGAACAATCTTGCAAAACTACGTCAGTTCTAGACTCGCTTGACATAGAAATATTTTTTTTTCCTACCCACTGTAATCAATTTTTTTTTACTGATTTATTCTGTTTTAAACTTAGTTTCCTTTTTCTCCCTGCATCTATACTTTGTCTTTTTTCTTATTTCGGCGTGTCTTTATATATTGTTGAGTGTGATTTTCTCTTATTTATTTGTTTTTGTTTTTTCTTTTCTTCAAGTTGTTTCTTTGGATATGGTCTAATTTGGCTCAGTGTTTTAGTCGATGTGGGAAGAAGTTGAGGCGAGCCTGGAGGTGTTTTATTAATAATTTTTTCTACTACACAGCTTAATGTCGAAGGAATTTGCGGAATTTTTTCGGTGTTTAATTCACTTTGTATGGTATCAATAGAACTAACGTCTTTGTTTTCCATTAATGGTTTATCGGTTACCTCGCTTGGCATAAAATATGTATCACTGAATACAAGTCGATTTATTGGTCACAGACCAGTATTTTTAAATGAGCTATGAATGCACATTCATATTCCTTCTTAGCCAAACGCGCCACATGTCGAATTGTAAGGGTTTTTGCAGGATTTGAAAGTAGCCAGTCATGCTGAGCTGTATATGAGCTATATGTGTCGTATGAGATGGAAAAGATAGTAAAACGATCCCCCTTTTCTAGACACAATTTAATGGCTTCTACAGGTATGTGGGATTCGTAATTGTCCAAGAGCAGAAGTACCTTGCTTTCCACAGAACATTTAATAGAATTCGCAAAGTGTTTTATTGCTTCATTTTACACTTCACTTTATCACAAGTTCAGCTCTCTCCTGTGAAGAGAACCACTTATTTTTTGCCTTTTGGAGCAACACCTTTAGCAGGTGGCATAACTGTCCTTATGCCAGTCTCGTCCAGATTCCAGATCTGTTACGGCTTAAACTTGTATTTTTCCAGGACACTGACATACTGGTAAAAAAATCTTCTATAAGTGGTTTATTAAAAGCCATCGGTCTACTTATACTTGTATTTTCGGGTTTGTGAAGCGACATATCGTTGTGATATCTTTTCATAAAGCAACGTAGCCACTCCAGACCTAAAAAATATTTCTTTAGCTGCTTGAATTTACACATATACAAAAGAAATAAACTAACCTGCCATTTTATTCAACTCCCAACTATTTGATGCTGTAGTATTCGGTAGAGCATTAGCAAAATCATGAGCCAGTTTTCTTATATGCTTATAGTTTAGGCCGAAGGGGTACAGTTGGAACACATTTTTATGTAAGCTACAAGCTCGAACTATTCATGCAAAGTAAAAACTTGACGAGCTGTATATTTGCTAGTATACGAAGCTTCACTTTCATTGCCTGAATCAGCCCATCCAGCCAAAAGCTCTTCTTTTGTTTTGTTTTTTTCTTTAAAAGGACCTTAATTCTTGACTGTATGGTTTGTCTTTTAACTTGATACTCTTGGGCAGCCTTATATTGACTCAAACGCCCTGTCAATACGGCTTTAATGGCCAATTTCATGGTATTTTCATTAAACTCACAGCGATTGGTTTTTTTTGTGTAATTCCTAGGCATTTAGAACAAATTAGTAAACATAAATTATTACTTACTTAGATATAAAAAAGATCAATATACAAATAATGTACGTGGGGAACATTCGGCTACTAGCTGAATCTTCCCCATAACAGTTAGCCGAAACTTCTCCACGTGCTATAAAAATAATATCGTGCTCTGTCATATGCTGAGCAACTGTTGCTTCCATACAGTCCTTGCAGACACACCTCCTCAGGACTAGCAACTTCAACGTGGAGTCATATGTCGCCATGTTACCGTATCCAACGGTAACTTTTACATCATAAAATATTATAAGAAATATCATATACCAAATCTAACTAATTATTTGTTAACGGGTTTTTACAAATATATTTAGTGGCTACATTCATGTACTCCTAGACACTGATGATGGAATATGGATTCCGAAAACGTTTTATTTAATTAGCCCGTTTGGATTTTTAAATATATACCTTTTATAAAGGTTTTTTAATAACAATTATTTAAAAAATATCGATTTATTTTAAGTATATTGTATTTAAAATGATTAAAATATAGACAAACTTTGATTATATGATGGTATATTCGCGTAAATAACACTTGGCTATATAACTTATGCAGGTACGCTTATGTTCAATTACCATCTCTCTAAATAATTATCTCCGCTACTGAACAAATTTTTGTGCTTGGGCATGCGCGATAAAGTTTTCTTTGTGCTTTTATGGCAATTCAAACACCTCAATTGAACATATTGTTACGCCTATGTGATTTTATCAAAATTTTATTTCTAATATATTATTAACACACACCACAAGATTTTGAATCAAATTGAAATTCTTAAATCTAAACATTTTTGCTTAATAACATAAGATACTCATTGTAATGAAAATATTTATTTTAAACTTAGATCTAAAATTTCTTAGCGCGCATCATCCTTCCCAGACTTAAAACTTTCTCCCCAGATCTAGGGATTTGTCGATAATGTGCCAATAGATTTTTCTAGCTTATATTTATAAAAAATTTTCAAATCATATACTTTTAACCAATTTGTTTTAAAGTTTTTTTAAATCAATTAATGTAATTTTAACCAAATAACTTAGAATTCATCGAGCATAAGCAAATTGTAAGTAGATGGTATTAATTTAAGAAAATATATAAGGTAACTAAATACAAAAAGAACTCAACTTGTTTTTATTCATAAAACAATAAAACAACGTAATTTCTACGTACAAAATATTACACGGTTTAGTTTTATTTTATTATTGTTATCATTTTTTAAGATGTCTGACATTGTAATAATAACAAAAGAGATTTTTTAGCAAAGACTTGGCAACATCGACGCGCACATCGTGAAACCACCACGCATGCGTGTACAATGATGGACAAAATAATTATCCGTTCATTCTTGCAATGAAAACTTCGTCGTTTGCTTCTTCGAAATTCGTTAATTTTGGTAATTTTTTTCATTATTAAACAATATTTCAACATTCTGTTCTATAATCGTCTATTTTAAAATACTCTAAAGACAATCGGAAGGCAAGAAGTAATGAATTGAAAACTGTGGGATCCTAAGTAAGTGCTGAACATCATAACAGAAAATTCAGGAAAGTTCGTCGAAAAAATGTCTCACTCAAATAAACTTTAAAATGTGTTTGGTAAGTTCGTTATTTTGACCTTTACTTCAAAAGTAATTTTTACATAAACGTATATTGCAGAAAATGATTTATAACAATAAAATTTAGCAACAGTTTCGACAGAATTTATTATCTAACAAGTCCAATCATTTATCTGAGAAAATACAAGGTCTTAATTTTCTTGATATTTCGTTAGGAAATTAGTATCTGCATTTTCCACTAGCCGTATCTTAACAAAGACATTTTCAACATTTTGCATGAATATTGATAAAAACTGTTATGTTTTTGTTGTCCTAGAATTATGTATAACAATTAGCTACCTACACATTATATATAAATTATTATTAATAATACACTAGTACTTGGAAGGATAGTATATGTGGTAAAAAGACATTGAAATTGTATATACTTTTTTAAAAAATATTTAAAATCAAATTATATAGGTATAACTAAATAGGTTTTTTTGTAGAACAATTTTTAACCTGAACTTTTAAACAAATTTATTATGCATAAATGTGTCTATTATAAATTGTTTAACATGTCATAATGAAGAGACTATGCAATTTTCTGATTTTTTTTTTTTTAGTTTTTACATCTAAAAAACTAAAATTTCATCATAATTTCTTTTAGCCTTAACACTACTTTCAAAAGCAGAAGAACCTAGTCTGTATAAATTTTGGTTTTCAATTAAATTATTCTTCTTTTCTATTGATTCTTCTCATTATTTGTGTATGCTTTTATTCTTTTTTTTTCTGTATAATTTGTATTCACTTATGACTTACTGGCAGAGTTACCTCACTGTATAGATTTCTTTTTGGTTAATTATTTTCAGTATTAAAGATTTTTTATTTCTGTATATAATTTATTTGATTATAATATCTTCACTCCTGTAATATCTAAGTATGATCAGTTATACTTCAGAAGAGAAGTCACTATTTTCCAGTCCTATTTGTTGAAGGGAGTTTGAGATACTGTAAGAGCACAGAAGGTTCACATTTGTTTGTAGAGTTATGTGCTGTTTTGTTACTAAATGTTACAGGCTAGTGTATATTTAATCGAAAAATGTTTGTAGGGAAAATGGGTCTGTCCTCTTTTGGCTCCTCATTTCTGAAGAAATCTACTCTAGGGATATCATTTGATAATAATTATGTTGGTGTTGATCAACTTATCAATTTGTTCATTAGCATTTCCAAACTTATTGGGGCCAAAGCACATGTTAAATTCTGCTCCTTCATCTGACAACTCCATCAATTCTCTTTCCCATGTATTATATGGGTTCAAGATTCTTCTTTCTTTTTTACAAAATTTGCTTGACTGGATGTTCTAGGTGTTATCTTTCAGATATTTTTCATGCCATATGATTTTTTAGGATTGTAAAGTGTTGGGGTTTGGCACTACAAAGATTTCAGTTCCTATGATTGGTATTTATGCATCTTTTTTAAGAATCTATCTTCATCTTTGTTGCAATCTTCTATACAGAAACCTTGGGCATTTCTCCATTCTTTTTATGAAATTATCTTCAAGTCTGTTGTGATCTATTGCATGAAGGCCATATGAGAAACAAGTTGGCTTTGATTTTTGTTCCTGATCCTTGTTTATTTCTGCCTTCTTGTGTCCACAATCATTGTGGTAATTAAAAAGAAAAGCTCTTACCTTTAGATTATCAATGTTTTACAAAAGTTGACTGAATGTTTAAGGTGTTTCATGATATATAAGTTTTAGTTTGTTTTTAAACTGTTAACAGTTCTGATTTTGCCTAAAGGAGCACTCAGATCCTATAAATGGCATGTATATATCCTTTTCATGAACTTATCTTTACTTCTGTTGCAATCTACTACATGAAGGTCATCTGGAAATAACT